ATACAGGGAAGTGGGATAATGGCTCTATTTAGACACTTGGATACAAACCTTCATATACTGATAGGCTTGGTGGCACAGTCTTGTAATTCCAGCACTTTGGGAGTCAAAGACAGGAGGTCTGGAAGTTGCAAACTGGCCAGGACAATTCTGTGAAACCTTGTCTCAAAATAAATTTTTTTTTTTTTGTCTTTTTCGTTTTTATCGGTACCAGGGATTGAACTTACGACTGCCTGCTTGCAAGGCAGGCGCTTATGCCGCTGAGCTAAATCCCCAGCCCCTCAAAATAAAAATTAAAAATGAGCTAGGAATTTAACTCAGTATGAAGCTCAGTATGGCTAAACCAAACCAAACTGAAGCCCAAACCACAAGCAAGGTTTCACTATGCAGTTGAGGCTGGTCTTCAGTTCACTTTGTAGCCCAGGCTGGTCTTGAACTTGCAATGATCCTCCTGCCTCAGCCTCCCAATGCTGGGATTACAGGCATGCACCACCACAGCTGGCAATTTTAAAGATGCTAAGGAATTGCTTCTGTTTCTTTTTTTAGTCAGGAAACTATATTGGAATTTAAGTATGTGACAATATTACAGAGAAACCAGGGGCTGGGGATGTAGCTCAGCAGTGTTAAGTACCTGCCTAACATGCACAAGGTCATGAGTTTGATCCAGTACCAAAAAAGGAGCTGCTGTAGCTCAGCAGCCTAAGTGCCTGCCTTGCAAGCCTGGGGTTGTGAGTTCGATTCCCAGTATCAAAAAATAAACAAAAAAAAAAGTCAGTATGATCAAAGAAACCAAACATTTGCTCTAAATTTTAATGAATCAAAATAGGCAATTATCTACAACTTCAGAACTTCCATCAGTTATGAGAAACTGGCTATTTCATGCTTCAAATGAAAGCAATGAAGGAAAATTGTGTGCACTCCTCAGCATAGCTCCCCTTGCATCCCATTTTTAAAAACAAGCTCTCACTATCTTATTCAGGCTGGCTTTGAACTCTTGGTGATCCTCTTGCCTCAAACAGTTTAGTTCTTTTATGATACAAGAAAAGTCCATTTCTCCTGCTTTGTTTCTCTGCTACTTTTGTCCTTTTCCTGACATGCCCAGTGCTCATGTACTTGCAGCTACTCCAGTCTCCTGACTTGGTATGCTTTCTCCAGTTCTCCCCAGTTAATACTCATTGCTCAAATCTCCTTCTCAGATCAGTATTACCAATCTGCCAACCCCCACATCCCCACTCACCCTCCCAATCTCATTGTTTGTTTGTCTTTATTCTTTCACTAAATGGTTAAGTTTCTTGGTGCATGTAAAGATGCACCCCACCAGCTGGTTACATGGATGGTAATTAACGAACAAACATCAATTTTTTTTGGTGGTACAGTAGTAGGGATTGAAGCGAGGGTCTTCACACTGAACTGCACCTCCACTCCTTTTTTTGTTCTAAGACTGGTCTCACCAAGTAGCTAAAATAAAACGCCCAGGCTGGGACTGAATTTATGGGTCCTCCTACTGGGGTTACAGGCATGCGCAGCCATGCCTAGCCAAATATCAGCTTGTAGGCCAGGTTGCTCTTAGGTAGGCTCAGAGAATTTAAGTAACCTGCAAGAGAGGAAAATTGCTAAGCATAGACCAGTTTAAAAACTTCTACTTCTGGGGGGAAAAAAAAGAAAGAAAAAATTTCTATTTGTGGGAAAACTCTTTCAAAAGTCAAATCTTAATAAAAAAATCCATGCGAATTAATTTATTTTATTTTCTTATCGGTACCAGGGATCAAACTTGTGACCATGCGCTTGCAAGGCAATTGCTTATGCCACTGAGCTAAATCCCCAGCCCCCCATACGAATTAATTTAAGAAATACAGTTTATCTAAGCTCTATCATTTGTCTCTGGAATAGTCAAGGGGAATAAGGAAGCTTCAGTTACTGGCACATTTTGTCCTACTTATCTCCCTTTTTCTCATTTTAATTTTAATACTTTCTGATAACCTAATTGCAATAGTCCCAAGAGTTGTTTTTAATAATGCCAGACAGGCATAATTCTCCTCATACTTTCAGAAGATAATATAACCATAGAAACATTTGCTTACATTAGAGTCCAAAGTCTCATCTAATACACAGAAAAAATACCATTAAGTAGAGTATGGCAAACATGTAATTCTTGAATTCCTTTTAACTCTCTCAGTAATGAACTAAAAAGCCTGTAATGAAGCTTTCATGACTGGGTTAGTAGCACAAGGAGGCTCAGGTCTAAAGACTTTTCTCTGGGGTCTGAGAGAGTAGGTGGGCTACCTAATAGCCAAGTATGAAGATTCTCTTAAAATATGCATCACTAATTAGGCTTTTCTAGTCTGTTAGGTACCTACTCACCAAACTCTAAGCTAGTGCTGGCAAACCTATGGCACACATGCAACAGCAAGCCGCTTGTATCCTGAAATGCTCTAAGCAATTCAACAACTTTGTCATACATGTTCATCCACTCAGAAGATACAGGTCACTAAAACAAGTCTTAGATTAGAACCAGAAGTGACCAGACAAGTGCTTGAAATTCTCAGTGGGTGCCTCAATCCTCAGGGTCTCAGCCTGGTATGCCAACAACTAACCACTTTAACACACAAGTCACACACACTGAAACCTTACCAATGTTAGAGAAGTGAAAATGCTTCAAAAGGCTGGAAGTACTACATAGACTGGACAGCATTAAAAGTCTACAGAGCCTAGTTATGGTGGCACATGCCTGTAATCCCAGCACTCTGGGAGACTGAGGTAGGAGGACTGTCAAGTTAAAGCTCACCTGAGCAATTTAGTGACTCAGCAAGACCTTGTTTCAAAATAAAAAATAAAAAGGGCTGGGTTCAACACCTAGTATTGCCTAAAAGAGTCCAAAGAATCTGTGTCACTCAAAGATATTGAGGGGCAGGCCTGGCTAGAAGTATATACACTCTTATATGGAACAAGTCTGTGTGGCAGTGAGAAATCTGGGAAAGACCTGCTCAGCTAGGACTCTCTATCTGCGGAGCTTGTTCTGGTTTCTTTCCTGTTCTGCTGAGATGTATAAAAGCACCTGGGCCCTCTTCAGTCTCTGGTGCCAGTTGGAAGCCTCAGATATTCAGTCTTTTTCCTTTCAGCCAAAACCAAGGGAAAATGTAATATCAATTCTAAATCAAACTTTCAGGTGTAGTTCAGATATTATTCTTTGTCCAATGAAAAGATAATATATAAAACACATTATTCCTAACTTTTAACTGTGCGCAAGCTGTCTTGTAGTGTAAGTTTTGCTTTTTTGAAACAAATGGCTCTAGTCATCTTTCTGTGATGCTAGGGCTGCTCTCAACCCTTCCCTATTTTGACTGTGGGGTGAATACAGCAAACTATCACTAACTTAATCTCTTTCTAACACATATATAGTTTGTTAATGGTAAGTAAGAATATTTAACTGTAATCATATTATGATATTTATACAGCACTTTGTGGTTTACAAAGCATTTTAACAAGCATCATTTTATTTGGTTTTCACAATAGCCTACTAAAGACTGCAAACCAGAGCAATTTGCATTTTACAGGAAAGGGCAAAGAAGCTCAGAAGTGAAGAGATCTCCTCCATGTAAACAGTAAGCAAAAGAGTCAGGATTTCTGATATCTAGTCCCATGTTTTGATACAATATTCTGGATCCATCTGACTATATGTATTTTATACCTCAATAAAAAAAAACTAACCAAAAAAAGTATTAAAGCCATGCAGTGTAGCTCATGCCTGAAATCCCAGCATTTGGGAGGCTGAGACAGGAAGGTCACCTCGAGTTCAAGGCCAGCCTGAACTGCATAGTTAAACCCTGTCTCAAAAAAACAAAAAAATAAAAATAAAATCTATTTTTCAGATCTGCCCCTTTTTATCTTCTGAGGCCACCGTAGCATTTGTGACAAACACGGTCATTTATCTGGACTTATCAACCGTCTCAACAGACATCATAAGCTCATCAACACTGATCCTCAGGACTTTTTAATATAATTGATCCATAGAAAAATAGTAATCATTGAAATCTTTTTAAAAATCAGTTAATATTTAGTTAGAAGAAAATGACTTGGTGACCGAAGTCTTATTTCATGCTATGGTAATTTATAAAATATGTAGCAAGGGCTGATAACATTTTACAACTGACATTGTAAACATTATAACATTTTACATTCCTCTAATTGAAAATAAATTCTAAGATATTTATTCCTATTTCTCAAATGATCACAATGTTGGAAATAAGGATTCAGGTAAGTGGCTATGCAACTGTATGCTGATATTCCTCTAAGTCATGGGTCTTTCTGATTGTCCTTACAGGAAAGAAAACTAACAACTGCTGAAATAAATCTATGAAAGCTTTGGGAGCAGAAAAAAGAATGAGCTAGTGGAGAACTTAAGAGAAACAAGTAATATGAAGGATAGTCAGTGAAAAGTACTTTTTCTCTAATATTTGGAATCTAAAAAAAGACACGAAAATAGTGACCATTAGATACGGCAAAGAGAGTAAGAAGAGGAGAGGGGAATGTAAGGGAGGATAATATGAGAGGATGGCTATGATCAAAATATGTGCATGCAAGAAAATACATCAAAACCCTCCTTTTTTTTTCTTTTTGTGGTACTGGGGATTAAACATAGAAGGATTAAACACTAATCCACATCTCCACTCCTTTTTGTAATTTGAGACAGTCTCACAAAAATCACCCAGGCTGGCCTGGGCTTGAAATTGTAATCCTCCTGCCTCAGCCTTCCCAGAATACTGGGATTATGGGGATGTACCACCATTCCTGCCTTGAAACCCAGTATTCTATAAAATTAATAGACACTAAAAGGATATTAATGGGAAGGAAAAAAAAAAAAATCAGTGGAACACCAACAGTGTATCTTCCAAAATCACCCAGTACTCTAATTTCCACAAATATAACTTTAAATGAGCAGACAGACATTACTTTGCAGAACCTAAAATTAAAAACCCAATGTCAAAAGAACCACAAAATTTTACCTCTAATGCCAAGGCAGTCTTGTCATAAGCACAGGGTACTCTTTTCTGGATTGCTTTCGCAAAGACAGGTCCATTCTGTGTAGAGGGCAAAGGGTTGACCGCTGCCCCAGGAGTACTGGAAACTGCAGGTAGAGGTGTTGTTGTCTGAGGTTGAGCATATGCATGAGCAGGTTCTGGGATGCCGTAACTGTTGGAATTCCTATTGCCATGCTTTCCATGTGGTGAGGATCTCACAAGCTTTTCAACATAAGGGACAGGAATCATTCCAACCCGGCCATCCTTGTTTCGGGCACTCCACCACTGTTCTTCAGGCTTCTCTATTATCACTAGGATCTCACCCTTTTTAAAGGGCAGGTCTTCAGCATCATTCCCAGGAAAATCATAGAGAGTCCGAACATATTCCAGATTTTCTTCTGCTGTAGGCAGGTTGGGTGTTGAGACAGATCCCATTGGTGGACTTGGATACCTTAAGAAAGAAAATTATTCTATGAAAAATCTTACTCTATTGTCAGTGTTTGTCAAACATAAATCAGTTCACTCTATAATGAATTATTTCTCTCTCTATTCACAGGAGTTGACCAAAGTTTTGTCATGCAGCACTCTGCACCTTCTGCAGTCTGGACTATAACAAATTAATATCCTGAGTATAGCTTTGCAAACTTCATGTCCTTCGTGTGCACACATGCATGCACACAAGCATGCCCATACCCACCCAAACTGTTTTACTTGACTTGAATTTGTTTTTTAATCTAAGTAGGCTAAGTAGCTGTCTTCCTCTGGATCCTGTTACAACCACTACACACTCTTCCGCCCAGGTCTAATCTAATGGTTTGCGTCCTGCAACTTGCCTTGACAGACTTGTCTCTGGTTCCTCAAAATATAAAAACCAAAAAAGGGCTTACTTGCTCCAAAAACAAAACAAAAAAATTAAACAAAACACCAAAAACCCTACATTTCATCTTGTATGAGAATCATCATCTAACTATTAAATGAATACCTATGAAAGTTTCACTGTGAAAATCACAGGTAAGCTCTTTCATGTAAAGCAGCAGCCCAAAGGTACCACTGCCTTCACTGTGCTGTACAGACCAGTGTATATTTGCTGACTGACTTGTAGAATGCATTTCTTGGAGTCAGCTACAAAAGCAAAAGCCCCAGCTGGAAGCTCAGTGGCAGAGCACGTACAAGGACCCAGGTTCAACCCCTAGCACTACACACACATACCTGCTCTCCAGAAACATCCCATGTATAAAAGCAGTGTAAGTTCCTTTTCACCTAAGAAATATTCTGGAAAGTTACAAACACATAAAGTTTTTTTTTTCTCATTTTTTTAAAAATCAGTATCAGGGATCAAACTCAAAACTGCCTGCTTGTAAGGCAGGCGCTTATGCTGCTGAGCTAAATCACCAGCCCCGACAAATACATAAAGTTTTGGAAAAACTATTTTACCATTATCTGCCCTTGGCCAGGCACAGCACATACCTATAATACCAGTACTTGGGAGGCTAAAGCAGGAGAATTACTCCAAGTTTGAAGCCAACCTGAGCCATAAAGTGACTTCAAGGCCAACCTGAACTAAAGTAAACCTGTCTCAGAAAGATAAAAAATAACCCCCCCCAAACCAAAACCCTCACCCCCCCCCCAAAATCCTTAATTTCTCTGAAGCACAGGATCTATATTAGATTAACATATCCTGGGCTTCATCTATAATCTGCACCTCTTTAAATGGTGGCTTAACCAGTAGAACCATTACCAAAGCCTGATTCAAGAACTGCTGAAAGAATGTGCTGGGAAAGGCCAGGCCTGTTTAATCACTGGTGGATGGTTCCAATTTATCTTTATTCAGGCAATGAACGTTTTCCTTCTTTCTTATCCCAGCATAGATCTAAAAAAATATTTTAATATAGAAAAGTGTCCATTTGTATTAAGCATCTTGATTTAAAAAAAAAAAAAAAGACGACAATTCTGAGCTGATGGTCCCAGATCAGTGGTAGAGTATTTGCCTAGCATCTTAGCATGTAGGGCTAGAACAGAGCCACAGCCCCCACCCCCACAACAAAACCACAAGACAGGAACAGGGTGGCAGGGGGCTGCTCTTTTTTTGGGTACCAGGAATCGAATCCAGGGCTTTGTACCTACCAGGCAGGTGCTGTACTACTGAGCTACAACCTCAGCCACTGGAGAGGAAACCACAAATATCCTTCCCATGTTCACTCTCCTCTCCCATTGGCTCAATTTATGGTTTCTCTTTTTTACTATTTTTTGGTATTCCTAACCCATTTGAGTTCAGTTCAGCTTTTCATGGTCCTCTATGGTAAGAGGTTCTTCCTATCCTGTGCTATCCTAAGAAGTTTCCAAAAGTAAAACTGATCCTCAGCATGACAAAGGGGAAAAAATGTGAAATTGATTCTGACAATTCTTTGCAGGAACCTAGAAGGTGTCCCATCTTCAACCTCTTTTAAGAGGTCCAGGATGCCCTTTACAAATCAGTTCTACCCTTCCCACTTAGTTTCCTGTCCATCACTCACATTAATGACAACTCTATGCCATTCCCAGCAGGCACTGCCAACACCTTTTCCACCTCATATACCTGTTTTCATCCTTCAAGAATCAGTTGAAAGAGCCAGGGATATAGCTCAGTGGCACAAAGTGCTTTGCCTGTCAAGTGTGAGGCCATGAGTTTGATTCCAGGTACCAAAAAAAGAAAAAGAAAAAAAAAAAATCAGTTGAAAGAGTACCTCCTCTTTCAAGCCTTCTCCCTTGCTTCCCAGCTACCACCATGGCCTTTTACTTTTAATTCTTTCAATAGACTGAATTTCTCAGACAAAAAATACGTTCTCTTCCCATTGCATGACTTGTACATAGTTTTGGGCTTTTGTATATAATAGGTTTCAATATACCAGAAACATTTCTCAATTCATTCTCTCTCTCTCTCTCTCTCTCTCTCTCTCTCTCGACAAAGTCTTGTTTTGTAGTTTAGGCTGGCTTTGAACTTTATGTAGTCCAGGTTGGCCTGGAAGTTTTGTGCTCCTCCTGCCTCAACCTCCCAAGTGGGAGGTGTTTGTCACCACACTCAGTTCTATCCTTTTTTTGTTTCTGAAAGCACAAAAGTCCAGGCACTCCAAATATCTCAAGCTAATTTAACTGTTACAAAGACACATTAGCTGGGCACAGTGGCATACACCCATAATATCTCAGCACTTGGGAAGCTGAGGCAGAAGAACTGCCTCCAGGAGCCTGTCTCAAAAAAAAAAAAAAAAAAAAAGGAGATCCTGTATGCCACATGGTACAACTTCAAAACCTCTTCATCTCATAATTCTTCCATGGCTATTCTCAACTGTCATTCCTGGTCACCTGACACATGTCTGGTGGCCTTATTTATTATTTTAGCAAATAATCATCTATTCTCCCATTAATAAACAATGACCCACTTTGCCTACCAGAAAAAATTAATACTTAAGCCTTAAAGACCCTTATAAATAATAAAAGTTCAGATCAAAGTGAAAATTCCTTGAGATTGAGTCTCAAGGAATGCTGTGTTGCCTGACTGACCTCAAACTATCTTCCTGTCTTAGCCTCCAAGTGCTGGGACTACAGGAACAATATATCCAGCTTTCAAAGTGAAAATTCTTAGGCAAAAGTTCTCTGGATTTCAATGACTATGAGTGTGTGTGTGGTTTTTGTATGTGTGAGACTGAGGACTGAAACCAGGTCCTCACAAATGCTAGCTAGGCAAGTGCTCCACTGCTAAGCAATATCCCAGCTCTGGATTTGAGTTTTAAATGAAGGAAAGTCACAAGTTAAATGGCCTTTTAGTACTTTACATATAATGAGCACAACTCTTCAACTGGACAAGTTTCTATTCTCATCCTAATGACAAAACAAAGTTCTTGTATCTCACCTAAATCAAATTTAGATGATCTAAACTACCAGTAAGGATAAATGCAAGGGGGGTTATTCACAGTGTCAAATTCTACACTGACCAAATTACAGTACTGGTAATTATCTCTCCCTAATCTCAATGATAAAAAAATCCAGATTTGAGTTTTTAAATAGTTTGAAAAAGGAATGTGTGGAAGAGACACGGTGACAGCCTGTTTAATGGGCCTGAGGACTCTCAGATTAGACTAAGCAGTCTTGAAGAGGTCTCCTACAGCCACTTTACCACGCATGGAAATGGCCTTCTAAAAATCAGACCTGACTCCTGTAATCCCAGCACCTCTGGGAGACTTAGGAACAAGGACCAAAAATTTTAGCCTATTGCGGGGTACCTTAGTAACTTAGTAAGACTATAAATAAATAAATAAAAATTTAAAAGGGGTGGTGCTGTAGCTCAGTGGTAGAAGACCTCAGGTTCTACCCCTAATGTTTCAAAACAAACTCTAACTCATAAGCTTCCTGGAGCATTTCAAGAACTATCCAACTCCATAAACCAAGTTCATATGATGCTAATGTCTAGCTTTAATGTCTGCCTGGGGTTTTTTGGGGGAACCAAGAATCAAACTCAGGACCTTGTGCTTGCCAGACAGGTTGCTTGTGTCACTGAGCGGCTCGTATCTATTGTAATACGATTTTTCTCAAAGGGTCAATTCTCATAGCTTTTTGTGTTTTCCTTAGCTTTTAATGCTTTTTTTCACTATTTTTTTCCCCTAACTTGCATTTATCTATACAAGCTAGAACTAGAGAATTCTAAAAGGAAAGTAAGCTGTACAAAACTCATTTTCAAGTTTCAGGAAAAATGTATTTCCTATCTAAATAGTCTAGAAACCCTTTGAAACATTCTCCCATAAAACTGAAAAATGGACCCTATTTAATAAAAAACCACTAAAGCTCACCCTACAATTTAACACCCCCTCCCCCGCCCCAAAAGAGTCTCATCATTGTTACCCACATTAGCCTTGAAATCCTGGCCCAAAAGATCTTTCTGCCTCAGCCTCTCAAGCAGCTTGCAACTATATACAGGTGAATGATGCTACCATGTTCAGTCCTAAATAAAATCATAAATGTATATATACTCAAGTAAAGGTGAAAATCATTACAAGATTGTTATTTGTCAGCTGATGTGCAGTATTAAAATACTTTCACGTATACATAAAAATTTTTCAGGTTCACTCAAAATCAGCTAAAGCCATCTGACATAGGACTTTTTTGGGATTAAATTCATCCATTCATTCTTTCTTTTCTTCTTCCTTTTTTTTTTTTTTTTTTTTTGGTGGTACTGGGAATCAAACTCATGATCTTGCACTTGCCAGGCAGGCACTGTGCTGCTGAGCTACATCCCGACCTGGGATTCAATTTTAAAACCACCACAGCAATACCACAGATAAACACACTGGGGGTCCAGCTCAATGGTAGAAGGAATGCCTACTATACAAGAAGATAAACCTCGTAAATATACGAAATCAACACTGCTTCTTCCCTTTCCCATCATGCCCCCGTGCCCCCTATTGATAAGCTTCAATTTTTATCTCCAAAACAGACATTTCCAAGTCACAGCTCTACTTTCAGTCAACATAATTTTGCTCCAGGACCCAGTACCAGCCTCAGGGCACACCAGCTTTTAAAATTATTTCTTGCCAAGAAGCCCAAGTATTTTAAACAAAATCCAACTTCCTTACTTGACCATTATCTCTGAACTCTTCTCATAGGACCCCCTTGCTCAAAGTTCTTTCCCTCTTCTCAGCCCAAGCCCTCCCGAAGTTTGCTTCTTAGGTCTTAGCCTCATGTCACACTACATTAGGCAGGTATCCTATTTTCTGTTATATTCTCTCAACCTAGGTTTATTCCCTTCACAATATGCATTCATCTTGTACTTAACTGTTTCCTTCAAGAAAATATAATTTCCATGGTGAAGAAAGTATGTCTATCACATAGAACCCAACTGGGAGATAATCTTACAAATGTGAATAAAAATTGAACACCAAGAATCATTCCAGGGGGTAAGGAAAAATGCCACAATGACAAATTTCAGCTAAGCAAAACAAAATTTAAAATAAATTACTGCCCAAGGAAGGGACATAAAACCCTGGCTTTAAAATCCCAGTTAATAATGCCTGAAAAGTTAAACCACTGAATTTATCTTGTCTGGGATATGAATATGAGCTGGGTTGGTGACCCAGCCTATAACTCCAGCACTGGAGACTGAGGAGAATTGCACTTGCAGGTCAGCTTGGACTCCACTATGAGATTCTGTCTCTTTCAGGAAAAGAAAGAGAGACAGAGACAGAGACAGAGACAGAGACAGAGACAGAGACAGAAAGAAAGAGAGAGAGAGAGAGAGAGAGAGAGAGAGAGAGAGAGAAAGAAAGAAAGAGAAAGATACATTATATTAAATTCTTACTTGCCAAGGCTTGACCACCACTAGGTTTTTCTTTTTTGTGTAGTACTAGGATTGAACCCAATATCACTGAACTTTGAGCAATGAGGTGTGATCAAAATATATAGTAAAGGGCTCGAGATTTAGCTCAGTGGCATAAGCACCTGCCTTGCAAGCAGGCAGTCAAGAGTTCAATCCCCGGTACCGATAAAAAGGGGGAAGAAACAACAATAAAAAAACATATATATATAGTAAATGTTGAAATTTCAAAAAATTATAGTAGAGGACACATTATTAAGCTCCTCCAAATAGCCCGTCCTCCTAATTTCAACACATTTAACCTATTGTCAGTGAAGCCCTCTTCTTTGTATTTAGTTGTGCTGTCATGGTTATGGAAATGATTCAAAACACTGATCTTTAATAGTTACTTTGAGCGGGGCGTGGTGGCTCATGCCTGTCACCCCAGCATTGAGAGATTGAGGCAGGAGGATCACTGTGAGTTTGAGACTAGCCTAGGCTACAAAGTGAGCTCAAGGCCAACCTGAACTGTATAGACAGACCCTGTCTCAAAAAGACAAAAAAAAAAGTTATTCTGACTTTGAGGAAGAGCCAGGAGTTCCATAGTGCCAGATCCAAGGAGGAAAATGAATGAAGATGCACCAGTGTCTTTTGTAAGCCTGTCTTGCCATTGGATGGCACTCAGCAGCAGCAGTCATCATCCTTGTAAAGACGAGGAAAAAGACTTCCAGAACTCTTTCTCACAGTGGAATACATACATATGTTGGAAGCAAAAGGGAGTATGAGGGGCATTAAAGGCAACATATCCTTTACTGTAATACTGAAATAAATGGAAACCTTCACTTTATAATTTGATCACCCCTTGTACAACGGGAAGACTTTAAAAAAATTTTTTTTATTTTAATCTGAGACATAGTTTCCTTAAACGGCCCAGGCAGTCACTGTTGATCCTCCTGCCTCAGCTTCCTAGGTAGCTGGCATTGCATGTACAGGGGTGCACCACTGCCACACAATCAGCTTTCTATAATATGTCAAACCTGACCTAGGAATTTCAGGCTTGAAAATGACATATCAAAAGATACAGTATATTCTTCTGGATGTGGTGGCCTATCCCAGTAATTCCAGCATTCCAGACGCTGACAAAGGAGGATCACTGTTGAGTTCCAGCTCAGCCTGGGCTAAAGTGAGTTCAAGACCAACATGAACTATACAGAGCAAGGCCCTGTCTCAAAAACAAAAGCAAAAAAACCAAACAACCAACCAACCCAACCCAACCCAATCCAAATACACAGATGCATACACTAAGTCAAACCAAACTAAATCAAACCAAGCCAAGAAAAGATTCAGTACAGCCTAGTGTGGTGGCACATGCCTGTTACTCCAGCTGTTCCAGAGGCTCACAGGAGGATTCCAAATTAGAGCCAACCTGGGCAACTTAGCAAGACCCTGATGCTGAAATTTAAAAATAAAAAGAACCAGAGATGTAGTTCAGTGATTCCTGAGTTTAATCCCCAGAACTACAACAGTGATGACGATTTATTGTATAACCAAGGTAACTCTAATCAGGAGCCAATTCAACCAGAATTGTAATCCTCAGGAGAAAATGAAAACAGCAACAGGCCTGGGGCAAGGACAGACCTGAGAACAAACAATTAAAGCTAATCATCAGGGTAGGGTCTGAACACACCCGACCACCACCATCCATACACACACATTTTGAGACAAGAGTCTTTGTATGTAGCTCAGGCTGGCCTTGAACTCAGTATATAGTTTAGGCTGCCTTGAATTCTCAGTGATCCTTCTGCCTCAGCCTCCCAAGTGTTGGAATTACAGTTGTACATCACCATAACTAGGGACTACTAACATGACACAGGACTGCAATAGCTCAAGCAAAGGTATAAATAGGTAAGAATGGCTACCAAAATAGTGGGCAGCCTAGTAGAGGTTCACTGAAGGAAGGAGAGAAGACAAAACCAGAAAGTTACATTTGGTATCTTAGAAGACATATGCAGGGATAATCTGGATTTGCAGAAAGTAGGAAGCTACTGTATATCCCTTTTCTCTCCTCTAGAAGGGGGATCAACCCATCAATTCACTTTTTGGAACCCCAGTATTTTTTTTTTTGGTCTTTTTCCTTTTTATTGGTACCAGGGTTCAAACTCACGACTGCCTGCTTGCAAGGCAGGCGCTTATGCCACCGAGCTAAATCCCCAGCCCCCGGAACCCCAGTATTAACAAACCTGTCACACTTCAATGTAAGCACATGCCTTGCACATAGCATGGCTTAATAAAAGCCTGAAATTAATCACATAATTCACTCTCACAAATAAGAGTAATTTAGTTAAGCATATTACCAATTTCATTACAGTAGTTTCTAATGTTCTCCAACCTGGAATTACACGGCACGCAAAGCTGACCACACCTACCAGTAGTGCTAAGACCTTCACCAATAAGATTCGTGGTGTTCTAGTACTTGATTATTTGATATACATTCACTTCTTTCCCCTTTTTAATCTCCACTTGGATCACAGCAGATAATCTTATAGTTATTGAACTGTTAAGGTTTTATTTCTTCTTTACCTCTACTTCACCAAAGCAACTTACGCTTCCAGTAGGTGTCCATAATTATAGTAGTTCTATTCACTTATTTACTTATTTTTTGTGGTATTGGGGATAGAATCCAGGGCCTAATACACGCTAGTTAGGCAAGCATTCTACCACTGAATTACACAATCCCCTCAGTTTTAATGTGTAAAAATCCAGAGAAAAACCTCATTAGCAAATCTATTGTCAAAATAGCTTATCTTGAAAAGTCTACATCAATGTTTGTTAATATTTTAAGAAATTAACTGGACAGTAAAATACCTTTTATTTAAGAAAGTCTAGGAGGCCTGGGATGTAACTCTGTAGTACAACTGCTTAGCATTTGCCAGGTCTTTCAAGTAATTTTAGTCCCTCATCATCTCAAAAACAAGTAATTTTTAAATATTTCAGGCATCTTTCTGCTCACATTTGGTATAATTTTTTTTTTTTTTTTTTGGTCTTTGTCGTTTTTACCGGTACCAGGAATGGAACTCATGACTGCCTACTTGCAAGGCAGGTGCTTATGCCGCTGAGCTAAATCCCCGACCCCACATTTGGTATAATTTAAACAATAGAATTTTATGAGAAAATAAGGCATTTTATCTGGGAAAGAACACTTGATGATCAGTATCACTTTGGACTCAATTTTAAAATGTCAATGTCTTCAGATTTAATATATTACGTGAAAACGAACTAAGATAAAATTATGGTTAAGTATCATTGTGCCTTTGTAATTACCCAGATTTAGCTCTACATATTAATGGTTCGCGGGGAGGGGGTGGTTTACAAACTTTCCTTAAAATATTCCAGTTAAAACCAATTCGTCTTTTTTTTCTTTGTAATGTATGTATAGTTAGAGATGACAGGTGTCTGGCTGCTTCAAACTTGACATCAGAATATTAATACTGTTAATAATTATGATACTTCAGTTAAAGATTTTTGTTCCTAAACGCTACATCATTTTCACCCGGCAGCTGTTCCAAGTAGATCTTAACCTGCAGTTCAGAGATCTGCGGAAGAATCAAGAACCTCGAACGGTGTGCAAACTTGTGTGTACGTGAATTTTCGGGAATGGTGGGAGGAGACATGCCACGGTTACCTTCAGAGCCTCGAGCAAGTCTAATAATCCAAAAATGGGTTATTTTAAAACAAAACAAAAAGAACCTCAACAACAAATTTCTGCATTAATACCGTATTTGACTAAACTGACAAAAGAAAAAAGCATGCATCTGAACTATGCAACCACCGATAAACAGAATCCTCGCATCTAGAGATCCAGATCCTGACATGAGCTATCCCTTCGGAATGCCTTCTATTTCAGATCGAGGAAAATGGTTTTTCCTATATTCTCACGCCCGGTCTTGCACCGATCCCAGCTACTCCCGACCCTCCTCAGTGGTCATGCGGCTTGCGCGCGTTACCTGGGCGCTGGCTCGATTAGGGTGGTGGTGTCCAGGTAGTGAATCTTGTAAAATTCCAGCAAGGCTGGCAAATTTTCAAATTCCTGGTCCCCGATCTTAAAACGGCGGTTGGGCAGGGAGTTGATGATGTAGTGGGAGACTCGCGAGTTCTCTGACACCGACAGCACGTAGTCCCCGGGGCAGGTGGAGGAGTCGCGGACCAGAAACATGCCATGGCGCTGGCCTTGGAGTCGGGTCTGCGCCTCATGGCGAGACACCGGCCCCATATACCAGGCAGAGCGGTCCGAGGAGTCGAACCTAGCGGAGGACATGGTATCGGGTCCGAGCGTCGGCTGCTCTCGCCCGTTCCTTTGCGTAGTGCTCAGGGCTGTGAAAGGGCCTCTAGGCAACCTCGAGGCGCGTTTAGCGGGACGGACCAGCACCTTCCTCTGCGCTCCGGGCCCGCAGCATCCTCCGCCGCCTTGCGCTTGCTCCGGGACTGCCTCACGGAGACAGCCGGTCCAGGAAACACGGGACAGAGCCCAAGGGTCTCAACGGGAGAAAACGAACCGCAGCGGAGGCCGCCCCGGAGCTCTTAGGCTACCCGGCGTATCTCCAGTGACTCCCAGCCTGGAAAATGGCGGCTCCAACAGCCCCACGAATCTGCATCGATCCCTCTGTTACACGAAGCTCGGGCCTCCAAAGAGCGTCGCGCCACCGGGGCGGTTTTCCCCAGCCGGTTCCCAATAGCCACAGCAACAAAATGGCGGACGAGAGACAAGCTGCCGGCCACCTCCCCCTCCGCTCAGCGCCCTCTGTCTGCGCATGAGCGAGGCCCGACTCCCAGCGGCCGCCGGGGTCCTCCCCGTAACGTTATTTCACGCAGCCAATCAGGAGCGCGATCGCGACGATCTAGGTGTGCGCCCCTCGCGCCTCCTCCCGCGTTCCGGGAGGAGGCTAAGGAGGTGGTGGCACTCCCTTCCTGGGCCACTGTGCGCCACCGGGGGCGCTGCAGCCACCGGGTCTCAGTACTGGCACGAAAACAGCTGGGGCCAGGAGGGGGAGCTTCATTTGGAAAACCCACTTCTGGGAACAAAGCATAAAGTGCAAGCTGAACCCCAGGCCAGCGGGGAGGCGTGGCACTGAGGTGACCTGGTTGGCCGAGGGAGACGAATGGCGGATAGGCTCCACTGTACCAAAGTGGCTCAGGAAAGGGATGACCCTGGGAACTAAAGTGACCTTTGGATGGCTAGGTGACCCAAGGGGCAGGTGAAGATTGAGTTGTTCAGAGAAAATGATATAAGAAGCCTATCGCCTGGGATAATCTGGCCAATTTGGGTAGTGAATTGCTGTTGTAAAATGCAAATAATTTTTGCCTCTAGGGCGTGGCGTTTCACTTGCTCCGGATTCGTCCCGCTCTCCCAGTTAATTTCCTCCAATCCACCTTGCTTATTCAGCTAGGCCGAGCTCTCCTAGCGAATTTTCTCCTTTCTGCCTTCATCTGAAGGTGAAATTGAGAAAGTGGGATCGTGTCATGTTCGCTTTTGTCTTGTCTGCCTCTGAGTGGACTTCTAAATATTTGTTAAATGAATGGCTACTATAAAAAAATCAAGTCACTGGCACTTGGTTGTTGGTAATATACCCCAATTGGCTAAATAAGAAAGCATGTCCCAGAAGTGATAAAAGCGAGAGAAACAAATCATACTTAAATTCCTCTGCCATCCCTCTACCAATGGAATTTCATTTTGGCCAGATGGAGAGGTGATAGGTGAGCTCTTATCTTAGGGCAAGCTAAAGGGAAATGTGAACTCAGCATAACTGCGTTTTCACCTTCCCTAAAGATACTTTCACACTGTATTAGTCTCAGATGCAATTTGAGTAGCACAGAATTTGAAACACTACTGAGTTCAAATCTTGACTTAGTTGACTGGCTGGGTGACCTTGGGCTCGTTAATTATTCTATGGGCTCATCTTGGGGTTATTAACAGTACTTCCAAAGTAGAAATAAATGTATTAAGCCAATATATGTAAAGTGCTTGGTATAGTAGCTGTCATATGCTAAGCAGTCTTATAAGAGTTTTCCATTATTATTATTCACTCTCTCAACCTGGGTTTTTAACTTCGTAGTCTAATAGTGGGGGAAAAAAATCTATGGGTGAGGACTGGGGATTTAGCTCAGCGGCATAAGCACCTGCCTTGCAAGCAGGCAATTGTGAGTTTGATCCCTGGTACCGATAAAAATGAAAAAGACAAAAAAAAAAATCTATGGGTGGGTAAGCAACAGAGAAATTTCCACTTGATTTTCTATCTTCTTTTCACTGCTAAATTTCACTGCTAGCATTTCATCATCACCCTCTGATGGCCCAGTCTTCTTGATCTGGCTTTTATCCTTGCTTTGACCAGGACTAAGATTTTAGTGACGGTTGTTAGGGATCTTTATAAAAATTATCATTCTCCTTGATGTACCTGGCATATGTGTTCAGAAAATCTCTTTTCTAGAATCCTTCCCCTTTAACTCCTGTAACACTGACATAATTTTCTTCTACCTCTCCAAACATACCTTCTCATTCACTGTAGCATTTTTGTCTTCAGATTAATAATTATTATGAACACCTTAAGGGTCACTTTTAGTGACTCAAAACATATGTTCTGAAAGTAGAATGAAAACTGATCATATCCTGTGATTATTAGAGAAACACTGTTATCACAGCCTAAATTAATTCTTATCCCAATCTGTTATAATTGCCTAACAGCACCTCTCCTTTCCTAACCTGACCATTTTGGGAGGAGACTATACTATTATTTTTTTTGTATTCCTAGTGCCCACCACAGTAACCAACACATTATTCATGCTGAATAAATGGATTTTGATGACTAAAATGGGAAGAAGCCAGATAAAAATGAAAATTTAGTTTAGCAAAGGTAGGGCAAGGAAGTAAGGTGACTGCAATTGTTTTCAGTTACTATATGTATTTTAAAAAGGTAGCTGGGGACTGGAGATATAGCTCAGTTGGCACAGTGCCTACCGGGCAAGTGTGGGTTTGATTCATAATAACAACAAAAAAAGGTAGCTGGGCTTATGCCTATAATCCTAGCACTAGGGCCAGGGGTGGGGTAGAGGCAGGAAGAGTGGGGTAGAGGCAGGAGGATGGCTATGAATTGGAGGCCAGCCTGAGCTACAAAGTGAGTTCAAGCTAGTCTGAACTGTATAGTAAGACCCTATCTCAAAAAAAAAAAAAAATATATATATATATATAAATAATATTTGGAACTAAAGTTTATTCGCTCCATAGTTCCTGTTGTTTAACCGTCCATTTGGCTTAAATTTTACATTCCAGCTTCCCCTTTTCTGACAGTAACATCACTGTTTTCCTAATTTGTAAGCTCAAAATTTGTCATCTTTCACTTAACTGAAGAACTCCATAGTAATACCCAAATTACATGGTGCTTTTCAAATCACAAAACTTTACAGAATCCATTGTTTTATTTACTCTAACCAGCATTTCATGAAGTACAATTTTTACAGGTAACCTAGAGCCTCAGACATTTTAAGTAGTTCAAATTATATAATATATAAGAGGCATTTCTAGCAATCTTAAACTAGGTCTTTTGATTTGAGGTCAAACTCCCATATTTCACACTGGCAACTACCTACAATTTAGGCCATTTTCTGTTTTGCAGGGAAGAAAACAAGTCTGTTAAAGTCACTTTAGTTGAACACATGGGTAACTTTTTTAGGATGGCAGTTGACATTTTCAGTACTCTGGGAGGCTGATCAAAAGCTTGAGCCCACCATGGGCAAGTCAGTGATTTAGGGACACTTTGTCTCAAAATTTTATTTTATTTGGGGCTGGGGATTTAGCTCAGTGGCATAAGTGCCTGCCTTGCAAACAGGTAGTCTGAGGTTCAATCCCTGGTACCGATAAAAAAGAAAAAGACCCCCCCCAAATTTTTTTTATTTCATTTTAGGCAGGATCTCACTTTGTAGTGCAAGCTGGCCTTGAACTCACTATGTAGCCCAAACTGACCTCAATCCTCTTGCCTCAGCCTTTCCAGTGCTGGGATTACAGGTGTGTGCAGGAGGATCACGAGAAGCAGGAAGACTGCTAGGAGTTTGGAGCCATCCTGCTGTACAAAGCAAAACCCTGTCTCAAAAAAGAGAGAGAGAAATAACGATGTGGTAACACCTTTAATCTCAAGTGTTCAGAAAGCTGATGGGACTGATATAGGAGAATTGCAAATTTGATTTGCAAATTTAATTGCAAATTAATTGCAAATTTAATCGCAAATTAAATTTCCCAGGGTGGGAAATTTAGCAATTTAAATGAGACCTTATCACAAAAAGGGCTGGTGGGGCTGGATACAGCTCAGCAACGGAAGAGCCTGCCTGGCATGCATGAGGTCGTGACTTCAATCCCCGGTACCTAAAAAAGGGCTGGGAATGTAGGTTAGTGTGAAGGCCCTGGGTTCAGTCCACTCCACTACAATAAATTAACTGGCTTGAAGAAAAAAATAAATTAATGGGCTGAGGATATAGCTCAGTGCAAGGCAGACCCTAGATTGACTAATCATTACTGCAAAAAAAAAAAAAAAACGCTGAAGTCCTTTAACTTTTGAAGCTGGGCATGGTATCACATGTCTACATTCCCAATAAAAGAAAGTAACTTTGAAGACTGAAGATTGAACCTAGGGCCTTGCACAGGCTGAGCATACTCTCCATTACTGACACACCCTCATTTCCTTTCAAAGTAAAGTTTGGTCCCAGAAGAGGGTATTAGCTTTTTTGGGGGGAGGGGGATGGAGAGGTATTAGTGTTGAAATAGGATAAATAGGATAGCTAGATTTGTCCCACAGTTGACTTAGATTTCAGATGATACCATAATTCTGCTGACAAAATAGCTATTTTCCTCTGTAAGGATTTTATATATATATATATTTTAAACAATCTCACTCTGTAGTTTAAGCTGTCCTTAAACTCATTATGGCACCCAGGCTTTGAACTTGTTGCAGTCCTCCTGGGTCAACTTCCCAAATGCTGTGATTACAGGCTTAAGCCACTATAGATCTTTCTTTTTATTTATTTATGTCTTTTTATCGGTACCAGGGATCAAACTCATGACTGCCTGCTTGCAAGGCAGGCGCTTATGCCACTGAGCTAAATCTCCAGCCCCTCTTTCTTTCTTTTTTAAGATTTCTTAAAGATATGGCCAGGGATATAGTTCAGTGCCTGGCAAGCATCAGGTCATAAGTTTGATCACTGGTACCAACAATGCACACAAAAAAAGATTTCTTAAAGATAAATTAAAATACTCCTCTGGAATAGTCCAGAGGGTAATAGGATATAGACTAAAACAAGAATGGTTATGTATTATTGATACTGTTAAAGTTGGGTGATGTATGTATGTGTGTGTTCAATTGTATTATTATGTATTATGTATTATTATGTTTGGATTTTTATTTTTTTTGGTACAGGGGATTGAACTCAGACCTAGCACTTGCCAGGACAGCTGCTTATGCTGCTAATCTAAACCCGCGGCCCTGGAATTTTTATAATAAAAAAAAATTTTTTTTTGTCTTTTTCCTTTTTATCAGTACCAGGGATCGAACTCACGACTGGCCTGCTTGCAAGGCAGGCGCTTATGCCGCTGAGCTAAATCCCCAGCCCCTATAATAAAAATTTTAAATATTTCCTTGTCATGCTGGTACATTTTTTAAACTTAAAAAAAATTATTAGGGTCTGGGGATTTAGCTCAGTGGTGTAAACAACTGCTTGGCAAGCACAAGGTCATGAGTTCGATCCCTGGTACCAAAAAAGAAAAAAAATTATTATTAGTACATGTTTGCTGTACATGCAGTTTACAATCATCTTGGGGAGTGGGTACATGTACCTACTACAGCTAGTTTCTTTTCTTTCTTTTTTTCTTTTTTTTTCTTAATTAATTCCCCTTCCCTTTCCCTCCCCTCTACTACATGCTGTTAACGGCAACACTATGGGAGGCTAAGACAGAAGGATCACCAGTTCAAATCCAACCATGGCAAAGGGCCTGGGTTCAATCCCCAATACCACACACACATATTTGTCATCTTTTGCCACATGAGACAAGCTTTAAAAAAAGGAGCTGGGGATTTAGCTCAGTGGTGTAAGTTCCTGCCTGGTAAGTGCAATGTCCTGAGTTTGATCCCTGGGCCAAAAAAACAAAAAACAAAACAAAGCTTTCCTTCAAAAAATTCATTCATTCAGTATTTACTAGGTGTGGTGGATTAAAAACTGGTGGTCAACTTAAACAGCAGCTGAATTGAATCAGCATGATGCTGAGTGTAGATGGCTCACCTTAAGAAAGTTGCCAGCATAAAAAGGAGGTCTGAAGAGGAAGAATAGTGTTGTGGGTTCTCCTGGAGGAGCTTGTCAAGCTTCTTTCCTGATGTGAACTTGGCTGTTTTTGTTGGAGGAGGAGCTCAGGACTGTTCTCTTCGGAGGAGGAGCTCGGGACCTCATCCCTGAAGATGTGTGTGGTATTTTGGGGGGAAGTTCTGGTTCTTAGTATGAGTGTTACTTCCTGGCGCCAGTGCAAAACTCAGTCTACTGGCACAGATCCTTCATCCCACTGGCAGAGACTTTCTAGCTTCCACCACTGACTCTGGGGCCTTCCCAGCACAGAAATGTGAAACAGACTTTCATGAGTCATTGTCGTGAGCTCTAGGTCCCCAGATGGACTTGTAGAAGGCAATGTCATGGGCTCTAGGGCTTCAACTGAACTAATGAGGGTTTATTGCCATGGGATCCAGACCCTTGGCTAGATTTTCTTTTTTTTTTTTTTTTGGTCTTTTTCATTTTTACCGGTACCAGGGATTGAACTCACGACTGCCTGCTTGCAAGGCAGGTGCTTATGCCGCTGAGCTAAATCCCCAGCCCCTTGGCTAGATTTTCTAGGTCTTTAGTGTGTGGACAGATTTCCTGTACTATGTTTGTATTTGACTCCTTGGGTGACCATTATAAATAACACTATAAACTATGTGTCCTATCTGTAATTGTTTTCTTTGCAATCCCAAACCACAACACTAAGAGACAACAAAATGGAAATGAGACACAGCATGAAAGCATGAAAGAAAGGCTGTAACCTCCAGGTCTATGGTTCTGTTTTACCTTGCTTATTCCTAGGTTTTCCAGGTGGTATTATACTTCGATTCTCTTTTGTAAGATAATTACCTAACAGTGTGGACTGAACCAAAAAGACTTTTTGAGCAGCTTCTCTAGATTCTTTATTTCCCATCCCTGATGCTGCCTCTGCAGAGGCTACAACTTTGGAACCTATGATTGGCTTTTTCCTTCTCCCTACCTGGCCAGGCCCAATCCTTCAGGCAAAGTTAAGGCCTGGCATTCTTCCTAAATTGCTTTCTTACTGAAGACATAGAGAACAAATTTCTGTCCCTCCTTTCTGCCCTTGATTTCTTTACAGCAGTGATGCTAAGAATAGAAGAGACATGACAATGTAGATGGTGAGTTACATGATATATTTATATTGAATTGATGATATCAGCAGTCCTCGTATGCTCTCTACAGAAAGATTTAGTGGACCTGTTCCATTTCTACTGCATTTACTAATTTTCTTCCATAATTTCTTTGTGTTTCTATGCAATAAATTTTTCCACTCATCTATTCTCCGTCGTTATTCGTCCATACTTTGAGTAATTTCTTTTCAGGGCTGGGAATTGAACTGAGGACCTTGCAAGTGTTAGGCAAGTGTTCTGTCACTGAGATGCCCCAGAACTGATATTCAGTTCACTGATGCTTTTCTTTTTTAACTCTCACTGTATTATTTGTTGCTATAATACATATGAAACAATATTCATATCCCAATTATAACTGTGTGTATATTGTTAGGGATTGAACCTAGGGCCTTATTCATACTAGGCAAATAATCTACCATGCGTCCCCCCACTCTCAATTATAATTTTCTGTACAAAACTATCAGTGATCACTTCTGAGTTGGATATAGCTCAGTGGTTTAGCTCTTGCCTAGCATGTTTAAGGCCCTGAGTTCCACATCTCTAGCACCCTTTTACCCCTCAAAGTCAATTCTTTTATTTATTTATTTTTAAGACAGAGTCTCCTTATGTAGTTCAGGCTGGCCTTGAACTCACTGTGTAGTCCAGGTTGGGCTTGAGCATGTAGTACAAGTGAGTCCCACCACACCTGGCCAAAGTCATGTCTTTCATAGATGCTGTCTTAGTTTCTTTCCTCATTGCTGAGACAAAATGCCTGACACCCAAAGTTTTAGGACAAAAGGTTCTTAGCTCACAGTTTGTAGAGGTTTTAATCCATAAATTCAAGGCAGGGTGACTTCACAAAGGAGAGCAATTCATGGGGGGCAGAAGACAGCAAAAACAGGAAGGGAGGGAGACACAAACCTCTTCTGTCCCTTATTTTGTATGCAAGCTACCTGCCCTAAAGAGGGTATGAGACTCATGAAACACTGGACCATGAGTGAATCACAAATTCTAGATTCAGCTGCCTCTGAAAAGCCCACCTTGCCATGCCATGACATGAGACTCTAGGGAAACATGTAGACATAAAGCGTAACAGATGCTGTTTCTGACTTAGACTTAGCTACCTTATCCAGGAGTCCTTTTCTTTTCTTTTGGTTTTGTGAGACAGGGTCTTGCTGCATGTCTCAATTACTTTTTCCTTATTGCTGAGACAAAATACCTGACACCCAAAATTAAAGAGGTTTTTATTTTCTTTTACCGGAGATTGAACTCACAACCTAATGCTTACCAGACAAGGGCTTGAGCCACTGAGCTAAATTCCCAGACCCAAAATTAAAGAGGGAAAGGCTATTTAGCTAACAGTTTGTAGAGGTTTAAAGACAGCAAAAGCAGCAAGAGCAAATGGGGTGGGAAGCAAGCCTTTTTTCCTCCTTTATATTCTAAGCAGGCTACCCACCCTAGGGTGGGCATAGCACTCACACCATCTCTGCTCTCCTCTTGTACAGGCCAGGCCCAGGATGTTTACAAAGTGAGGACCTGGGCCCCCTGCTGAGTCACTTAGTTAAACTTCTAAACAGTCCAAATTAATACAATGAATCAACCATTATAACATCCTAAAGCCTAAAATAGAAGGCATGCCACCCTAGAGCATGTCTTCTACACCCTAAGATGTACAATGCTGAGTTACTTAGTTAAGCTTCTAAACTTCTCAAGTTGATGCAGTGTATTAATCATTACACCATATAGTCCAGGGTGGCTTTGAACTCACTATGTAGCCCAGGATGGTTTGAACTTGTAGTGATCCTCCTGCTTCAGCCTTCTGAATTCCTGAGTTTACAGGCATGAGCCACCATGCCAGGCATCCAGGAGCCTCTTTGACTGCTGTAAAAAAGCACTGGACTTTAGTCTGATCATTTCATGTAGTACTGGAAATTAAACTCGGGAACTTCACACTAAATTACATCCTCAGTTCTTTCTATTTTTTGAGATAGAGTCTCATTAAATTACTGCTGGGTTGCCCAGGCTAGGTTTGAATTTGTGATTCTCCTGCCTCAGTATGCCAACACTCTTGGCTCTTTTTTTTTTTTTTTTGTATTTTTTTGTATTTTTACTGGTACCAGGCTCATTTTAATATATTATCTCTTGCCAAGTTCTTTCCATCCTTCCTTCCTTTCTTTTTTTTTTTTTTTTTGTCCTTTTCCTTTTTATCGGTACTGGGGATGGAGCTCACGACTGCCTGCTTGCAAGGCAGGCGCTTATGCCGCTTTGCTAAATCCCCAGCCCCCCATCCTTCCTTTCTTTATTCAGTATTAGGGATTGAACCCAGGGCCTCAAGCACAGCCCTCCACCCTCACTCTGATACAGCATTTCACTACATTGCCCAGGCTGGTCTTGAACTCCTGGGTTCAAGTGAGCCTGCTACCTCAGCCTCTTGAGTAGCTGGGAGTGTGGGACACACCACTGTGCCTGACCTCATCATTTTCCTTTTTTGTCTTTTTGAGACGGGGTCTCACCACGCAGTTCAGGCTGACCTTGGGCTCACTTTGTACCCCAGGCTGATCTTGAACTTGCAAGGATCCGCCTGCCTCAGGCCTCCCAAGTGTTGGGACTACAGGAGTGCGTCACCATGCCTGGCCGACCTAACCATTTTCTAATACAGTTTTAATAGTTTGGTCATCTCTTCTTCAATATGTTTACTTTTTTTTTTAGACAGGATTTTGCTATGTAGTTCAGGTTGACCTATAATTCACTATGTACCCCCAGACTGGCCTCATCTTGCAGTGATCCTCCTGTCCGACTCTACTTTCCTGTCAGTTAGCTACTTCTGGTCTGAAAAGGCAAATTCTCTTATTTCTCCTGTGTAAGAAACCAGCCTACAAGTTTGTCTTCTATAGGAACTCTTGTAAGTGAAGGAGCTTCTCCTTTGGTAGGGGCCAGTGAGATAGACTTCCATAAGTTCAAGTTTGCCTTATAGATTTTTTCCCCTGACCTTGTCTTAGAATATATCATGTGTTTTGCATCTTTCTACAGGTGGGATTGCCTTATTAGTCATTTGAATCCACCATTCTTTCAGTAAATCCCTGCCCCACAAATTGACAGCAATAAATGACTGTAAGACTCCCTTAAATTTATCATGGCCTACAAAGGGCAGAGATGCAGCATTCTGCATGACCTGTCTGGGTGACTCCAGTCCCACCAAGAAGATGAGTGCTGCTCAGATGGGCTAGACAAATGGCCACCGAGATGAAGCCATCACCAAAACGTCTGTACCTGTGTCCATGAGCCCCCAGAAACATTTTCCTTTAATCTTAAGCATACACACGGCCCAGTGGCCTGTAACATATATATATTTTTTGATACTGGGGATCAAACTCATGACCTTGCACTTGCCAGGCAGGCATTTATGTCACTGAGCTAAATCCCCAGCCCTGGCTTATAATATCTTGAGTAAAGAACACCTCCTCATGGACAGACTGCCAGGTTTTTATTTCCTTGGATCTGTTTTCACTAGAAGCTCTAGTTTTGACAATAGGTAAAAGAATCAATTGGGCAATATGATCTCCTGGTTCAAAAACCCAAACATCATATGACTGAAACACAAAGAAAATTTTCCCCAAATTGTCTGAATCAATCCCAGGAAGTATTTCAATACCCTGTAGGCTTAATCTACTTTTTCCAAAGACTAGACCCATATTACCTAAAGGATGAGGTCTCCAGATTTCAATGAAGATTTTGATAGGTTTACCTCCACCAATCAAAGTCATCCATTCAGCAGTGGGAAGATCTAATTCCTACATTTCCCAGGGTTCCAGTAACAAGGGATTTGGCCATCCTCCTGAGATCCACTTAAGCCTGCACTGAGAATGCCTCCATTGTTTATTGGGCCTGGTGCCAGGCCTGCATCCTATTTTCTGCCAATGGTGTGCCATCTTGATAATATTTAGAGCAATCTTGATTAGCCCAATAAATTTCTTTTTTGACATCGAAGACAAGGGCTCAGCACATTCCACTCCAGGAGAGAGACAGTTACATCCTGTCCTGCCTGGGATTGAGTGTCCTATTTACAGATAATCCCTGTTTAGCCACAGTTAAAACATTGTATTTTTGATGAAGCTTGATTGATTTTGCTTAATTAAACCAAACATAGCTTAAGCAAACCTAGAGAACTTGTGAACTGTGGTACCCACGTCTTGCATACTTTCAAATAATTTCCAAGATTTTTAGCTACCTGAATGCTTGTTTACAGTACTGATTAGCATTCTCAGAAGATAGCTACAACACAATCTCTGCTGCTTGGGCATGCAGTATCTGTTGTTGGACAGCTTCTTGTTTTGTTTTTTGTCTTTTTGAGACCGGGTCTTGCTACACAGTTCAGGCTGGCCTTGAGCTCACTTTGTAGCCCAGGCTAGTCTTGAACTTGCAAGGATCCTCCTGCCTCAGCCTCCCAAATGCAGGGATTACAGGTGTGAGCCACCACACCTGGCTGACAGCTTCTTGTAACTGAGATATGAATTGGACATAAGGCTCCCATGAGCCCTGAAGAATGCGTAAAAAGGACTGAGTGGGAATACTTTCCTCAGGAACAATTACCTAGGCTTGTTTCATTGTGAAAGCTATTTGCTGATAAGACTGGTCCAGAAGAGTTAACTATGGGGTCAGATCTGAGTATGGACCTGTTCCTAATAGCATCTTCAGTAATCTCAGGATGTCTTGCCACTTGATTCTGTCATACTTGTTCAGCTGTTAATTCTTGAAAATTAACATGGAAATTTAAATATTGCCCTGCGGGGCTGGGGATTTAGCTCAGTGGCATAAGCACATGCCTTGCAAGCAGGCGGTCGTGAGTTTGATCCCCGGTACTGATAAAAAATAAATAAATAAATAAATATTGCCCTGCAAAAGTCAGGACCCAGCCAAGTGCTTAACATTTAAAGATGGTAAGTGTGAAGCTTCTAGGACACCAACAAGCCCAATGTGAACATGACATTGGATTTTAATCCTGTAAGCAATTTATACTCCAAAGCATTATGTTCATGAACATTTTGTTGTGGATTGTTAGGGTCAGGATGAATATTAATATATGAATATTAATTAGAAATGCACATGTCCCAAAGGGCTCTCTGTAAAGCACAGCCTGTCTAACCAATCTTTGATAAGGGGTACACTACTTCTATATCAACTAGGGATGAGGGCAAGAAGAAAGAAGGGGAAGAAGGAGGAGGAAGAAGAGAAGGGGGACCAGGGCTCTTCACCCTCATTTTTATTGTCTCTCAAGGATGCACTATGTATGAGATGTTTTCCCACAGTTAAAGGACAAAGAACTACACAGACAAAGCTCCAAATAGAGAAAGTGTTAGGGGATGTAACAGAGCCCTGGGTACTCTCCAAACCCTTTCTCATTCGTGCCAGAGATGTAACTCAGTGGTACAGTACCTGCCTACCAAGCACAAGGCCCTGAGTTCAAATCTCAGTACCAAAAAAAAAAAAAAAAGAAAGTATAACTTCCTTTCTCACTCACTCGCAACTCTCTACATCAAATGTGCCCATCTGAGGAAATCAAGGATTATGTTTGATAATATCTTCATATGAGAAAGCAACTGGGTACTAATTTGAGCGCCAGACAGGCACAACAGAATTTCCAATAAAGGGATATAATACTATATTTTAACTGACAAATTCTATCCCATTACCTTGGTTGAGAAAGCTTTCTGTGTGTACTCATTTTTCTTTTTTCTTTGCTGTCCAGCTTTAGTTTAGAATGTGGGGGCCAGGGGCTTCTGCCTCTAGTGGACAGAGAGCTCTGGGCATTTGGCTCACTTCGCTTTTATTCACTCAGACACGGGAGCAAGCTATTAGAGTAACACAAGATTCATTTGTGTCCTGTTATCTATTAGTATGTGCCCAGGTAAACAACCGGATCTCTGCTATTGACTTTTCCTGGAACTTGCAACATGCAAGTTCATTATCTGGTCTTCTACATTCCTAGATTTCAGAACACTGACACATACCTTATTAATTCTAAACTGGATAATCCTTCCACAAGGGGTCACTGATTCTTTCTTGCATTTAAATCAATTCTACATAATTCTTTGAACTAGAGGCCAGAGAATGTTTATTGCCAGCTACTATATATGTTAGCTTTGTGGACCAAGAAGAGAATAAAGGATGTTATTCAGTGATTTTTTTTTCTTTCTTTCTTCTCTCTCCTCTTCTATTTTTATTTTTTTTGTTGTTTTGAGATATAGTTTCACTACAACTCACTTTATAGCCCAAGCTGGCCGAGAACTCAGCACAAATCCTCTTGCTTCAATGCCCCAAATGCTGGGATTATAGGTCTACACCACCATGGCCAGCATTTTTTTCCTTTTTGAGATGTGTTTGTCATCTCACCTTGGACTCATGATCTCTCTTGCCTCACTCTGCCTCCTAAACAACTAGAATGACAGGAATGCACCACAACCACACCTGGCTAAATGGTGGGTGTTATGTAGGTATTTGTGCAATGAGAAAATTTTCTACAAATCTTTATTGATTAAATTCAACATATAATAGTAATTGAGTATGCAATTTTGTTCTTTTTTGCAGTGATAGGGATCAAGCTCAGGGCCTCAGACTAACAAGCTGTTTTATAACCCACCAAAGAGAAGAATGGAATTCTTTTGTTTGGGATAACAATCTGTTTAATTAGGATTCAACACTGATGTTCCTATGAGGTGTAGATGGCACGTGCCTACAATCCCACCACTTTGGGAATCTGAGGCAGGAGGATGACAAATTTGAGCTCAGCGCAGACAATTTAGTGATATAGCAAGGTCTCACCTCAAAAAAAAAAATGTAAAAAGGTCTGGGGATATAGATCAGTGGAAAAGCCCTTCAGTACG